CAATATTTTAAAACCCCAAATTATTGTTGAAAGCTGAAGAACAGGGATTGATTTGAGCTCAGACTAAGACAACTTAGGCCGCAGCCTACTTGAGAACCAGTCTTGGGCCCTGAAAGCAGTCAACCAGCTTTCCTCCGTTCCTGAGGGCCTTGACAACCATTATTTACACTGGCTGACATAAGCTTCCCTACAGGATTTTGCAAAGAGCCGGTAGCTCCAAAGATTCAAACTGATCACACGGTGAAAGGGTTACTAAGTACTATCTCTAATCACGTCTAGTGTTGACCGAGTGCTTAGTGTACACCACGCACCAGACGAAGTGGATTATCTCTTCTATCCTCAAGCCATCCACAGAAACAAGGAAGCCAACTTGATGTGCTGTTAATTAGCAGGATTCCCTGGCATGTGCTGCAGTGGGGGAAAGACTGAGCTTGCATGACACAGAGAACAAAGTGGCGGGGAGTGGGAAAATACTGCGACAGGAGTGTTTTCTCTGTGTGAGGTTTTCGTGGCAATAGAAGCCGGAGCTTAGCTCCCTTTAAACCTCCTTTAAATGGATTCGGTTGCTCACAGTTTTAAATATATGCACCTTCTTTCCCACTACCTTTTCAAATTTAAGTCAAGTTCTGCTTAGTATATATAGTAGGGTGGAGCCCAGCCCATAAGAAAAATCCCAATGGAGCAAATCTCCCTGGAGTTGCTTACTCTGGGGGTCAGAGAGGAAGAAGTAAGGTGGGTGAGACACCTCTGTGTTGTACCCTTCAAAAGACTGGGTGTCAGGAAATGACACAAAATGCCCTTCCGAGCTGGAAGTATGGTCACAGGAGCTGTGGTTATGACCTGTGTCCCGAAAGGCCCAGGGACGATGCGGAGTAGTGGAACAAGTCTAGGCCTTCGCTGCACTCGTACACAAGTCCACAACGTGCAAATTCCAGGTCTGATTCTTACTAACAGTGTGCATTCAAACCGGTTGCACTGTCTGTGTGAGATACATTATCTTTGTGTGTTGTGGGGAGCAGTGTGTAGGAGCATGTGTGGGAGCATGTGTGTGGGAGCATGTGTGTGGGAATGTGTGGGAGCATGTGTAGGAGCATGTATGTAGGAGCCTGTGTGGGAGCATGTGTAGGAGCATGTGTGGGAGCGTGTGTGGGAGCATGTGTGTGGGAGCATGTGTGGGAGCCTGTGTGGGAGCATGTGTGTAGGAGCATGTGTGTAGGAGCATGTGTGGGAGCATGTGTGTAGGAGCCTGTGTGGGAGCATGTGTGCGAGCATGTGTGGGAGCATGTGTGGGAGCCTGTGTGGGAGCATGTGTGTAGGAGCATGTGTGGGAGCCTGTGTGGGAGCATGTGTGTAGGAGCATGTGTGGGAGCATGTGTGGGAGCATGTGTGGGAGCATGTGTGTAGGAGCCTGTGTGGGAGCATGTGTGTAGGAGCCTGTGTGGGAGCCTGTGTGGGAGCATGTGTGGGAGCCTGTGTGGGAGCATGTGTGCGAGCATGTGTGGGAGCATGTGTGGGAGCATGTGTGTAGGAGCCTGTGTGGGAGCATGTGTGCGAGCATGTGTGGGAGCATGTGTGTAGGAGCCTGTGTGGGAGCATGTGTGCGAGCATGTGTGGGAGCCTGTGTGGGAGCATGTGTGAGAGCCTGTGTGGGAGCATGTGTGGGAGCCTGTGTGGGAGCATGTGTGGGAGCATGTGTGGGAGCCTGTGTGGGAGCATGTGTGGGAGCCTGTGTGGGAAGAAGCCAGAGGCCAATGTCAGGTGGCTTCCTCAGTTACTTGTCCACCATCTTTGCTTTTTTGAGGTGGGATCTCTCACTAAACCTTGCAAGGAAAAGTATCGGCTCAGGACCCCCAAGACCAACCAGGGCATATTAATTAGGTGAGCCAATGGGGGGGACGGGGGCGGGGGGGGGGGAGGGCTTTTGAGTGGTGGATTTCAGTACTTTGATAGCTGAACCTTGGTAGTCAGCCTCAAGCGGAGGGACTGGCTAAGTAAGGGAATAGACTTTGGGGGCTACCTTGGGGAATGTAATCTAACGGTTTTTAGCAAGGCAGAGGCAATTGGGGAGAAGGGCAAGGCCTGCCAGAGCCACATCCCTTCAAACCTGGAGCTCGCCTATTTGGAATAGCCAGGCTGGTCAGCAAGCCTCAGTGATCCTCCCCAGGACTGGGATTACAGGCACACAACACCATGGCCAACTTTTGCCCAGCTTTTGATCCAAACTCAGGTCCCGTGCTTACTCAGCCAATACTTGACCAACCGAGTTATCTCCTCAGCTCCTGAATATACACATCCAAAACCTTGCAAATCCCAGCAAGCTGAAAATCTTTATTGCTGGTTTACAAATGAGAAAAGTGAGGCTGAGGAAGGTTAAGTACAACATGTAAGCTCTCAGGATGAGCTAGGATCTGAAGCCAGGTGCCTTCGAGATCACGGGCGCCCTTGTCTGTCTTCCCACGCTTCCTAGCTCTGCATAGCCTCCCTGAGCTCTTTCTCCAGGTCTCCTCTAGTTGGCTCTCCTACACAGATTAGAAAGCGTGTTTGAATTCCTCTGCTATGACACAGCAGAGTGAAGGCAGAGCACACCAACGCTGCCAGAGAGGAAAAGCTGCACAGGTCCTAAAACAGTCAAACAGATAAAATAGCTTGAATTTCCCGCACTGGAATTAGAGCAGGTCGCCCACCTTTTATCCCATTTCCCTTTATCCAATGCTGGTCTTTTCCCCTAGCGATTGATGAATTTATCATAATAATCTAGCGAAAAATTTTCCATCAATAAAACATTGACCTGCAGGTGTCAGCAATTGCACTCCTGATTGTGGACACCCCCCCCCCCCCAAGTGTTTGCACCAGGGAGCTGTGTGAACGTGGGTGAGTGTCTTGACTTTGCTGGGCTTCTTTTCTCCATCTGTGGGAAGAGGAGGAGGCTCTTACCTAGCTTGTGGGGTTCTTATGGAAGTGAAATGAACATGCAGAAAGCTTTTAGCAGTGTGTGGTCTGTGCATTACATATACAAGTAAGTGAAGTCAACACTAATTTTGCCCCCATATTGCCTTTTGTGGAATTCTGGCCAGCACATCTTAGCCTTAGGCACAGCCAAGTGGATATGGCTATTTTCTTGCGCTGCTTTGAGAACAGAGATCTTGCCCTTCCATTGGGCTTCAGCTGTTGTCTCTTCCAGTCAGCCACAGGCCCGATTCTGAGGAACCATTCTGAGGGTACCTGTTGTCAACTAAGTGTATCGTACAGTCTCACATGGGTGCTAGCCTACACAGTCCAGAATATGCTTCCACTTCTCTTCCACCAAGGCTTCCCCACCAGGACATGGACCTCTTCTGAGACTGTGGGTCTCACCAGTGTTTCCTCACAGGCCACAGTTCTCTGTTGTCTCAGCGTCCCATCACTGGAATCTTACTTCAAAAAAGAACTCACCAAGGCAAACACAGGAAGTTTCCCAAACTTCTGCATGTCAGAAGCACTAGGTGAGCATAAGACAAACAAACCAACAAATGAACAAACAAACCCAACAGCTATTTCCGGGCCTGCACCCATACCTAATTAGTTCAAGTCTCCAGAATGACAGCTGGGCATCTAGATCAGAGACTGCTGTTCTTTCACTGGGGTTCAGAAACAAAAGGAGAAAGGAGACTCACGGAATGGAACAAGGGAGGATAATGGGGGCTGAACATGAGCTAAGAATAATAATATACATGTAAATTTTTCATAATGACACTTACGTTGTTCATTAACAAAAATTAATTCATTAAAATACATGAATAAATTGTTTACTTGTTTTTGTTTTGAGACAGGTCTCTCTACATAGCCATGGTTGTCCTGGAACTTACTATGTAGCTCTGGCTGTCCTGGAACTCTCTACATAGTCTTGGCTGTCCTGGAACTCAATATGTAGCCTTGGCTGTCCTGGAACTCACTATGTGTTCAAGGCTGTCCTGGAACTCACAAAGATCCACCTGCCTGTGCCTCCTAAGAGCCAGGATTAAAAGCGTACACCACCATGCCCAGCTAAAAACAATTTTTTTTTTGAGACAGGGCCCAATTATCTAGTTCTTGCTGGCCCAGAACTCCCTATGTAGACCAGCGTAGCCTTGAACTCACAGAGATCCATCTACCTCTGTTTCCTGAGTGCTAGCATTAAAAGTGCACACTCTCATGACTGGCAAAAATAATTTTTTTAAGGGAACAAAACTCAACTCTTCCTATTTGTGCTTTTGAAGCGTTAGACTCCACCTTCAGGACTGTCTTGACTCTGGGGAAGATCTCTTTATCAAGGGGCTCCTGGAGCCCCACCCTCGCCCTCTGAAGCACTGGCTATCAGTAGATCCTATGAGAGGAGGGATGCTGACTTTAGTTGTGTGTCCTCTGCTGAGCCCACCCCACCCCAACAGATAACCCCAAACCCAGGGTCACACAGATGGCCCTGGCAACTCTTGTGAACACGACAGAGATGTTGTGGAGAGTGGACAGGGATGGTAGGAAAATGGGAAGTGAGTGTTGAGTCTGCAAAGTGTACAGATATGAAATTGTAAATAATAATAATAATAATAATAATAATAATAATAATAATAATGGCCAGAGAGACAGCTCATTGGTTAAGAGCATTTGTTGCTCTTGCGGAGGACCTGGGTTCAGTTCCCAGCACCCACATGGCAGCTCATGACCACCTATAACTTCAGTTCCAAGGGATCTGTTGCCATCTTCTGGCCTCCACAGGCACACATGTGATGCACAGACATACATTCAGGCAAAACATTCACACACATAAAATAAAAATATTTTAGAAATACATACTATAAAGATCTCTTTATCAGAGGCACGTTTTGCATCTCTGATTTATTGAGATATTTCTGTATGTTTGCCAGGCTGGCCTTGAATTCGTGATTCTCCTGCCTCAGACTCCTAAGTTTTGAGATGACCAGCATGTGCCCTTATACATGGCTTTCTGGTTGGTCTTATAGATTAAAAAAAAAAAAAAAACAAAAAACAAAAAACAAAATTCATCCTCTCTGTTGGATTTTGATTGGTTTCCTTGGAGAGGAGCTGCAGGAAGGGAAGCTTGCTCTCTCTTCCTCTCTGGCCTCATGTCTAACTTCACGCTCCAGTTCCTCTGGGCAGTGTTTTAGAGTTGCCTCCAAGCACACACATTCTTGACTCCATAGCTACGCTTTTAAAAACATGATTTCTTTTAAAGTGTGGGTATCTTTTCTGCATGGGTGTCTGTGTACCACTTGTGTGCCCAAGGCTCTCAGAGGCCAGACGAGGATATGGATCACCACCACCACCACCATCACCACCCCGGAACAAGAGAAGAAGAGTCACACGTGGTTGTGAGCTACCATGTGGGGGCTGGGAATGGAACCCAGGTCCTCTGCAAGAACAGCCTGTCCTCTTAACAACTGAGTCATTTCTTCAGACCCTAGAGGCACTCCTCTGAGGACTGAGTACCACGGCTGCGTGCGCACGTGCGAGACAAATCTTATTCACACGATTCTAAAATCAGGCTTCTGGCATTAGACAGACATTGTTCTAGGTACAACAGCTTTATGTTATATAGCACTGCTTTTTCTCTCCAAACATGGAAAGAAGCCATTACAATGTGAGGGGAGCGTACAGAACAGGCTACAAGATTGAGGAACCCCTGGAAAGCTGTGTGTGTATGTCAGTCGGCCACGGTCTCAGACTCTGCCCTTGGCTGCCGCTCCACCCTGAGAGCGTCATGGCAACCTTTCCAGCCACAGGCCTGCGGTTCTGCTTTTCCCAGAGGCTCTGGCAGATGTCTTCTCACATGCTGCTCTGACTCAGTGAAGTCTGCAGGCAGGCAGCTCAGCTTCCCCGGGAACTTGTGCTGAGGGCGTTTGTTACCCCCACGTTGCCCTAGCAACTGCTGCTAAAGGACTCCAGCTAAAAAGTCCCAACTGAGGCGTGTCTTGGGGTGGATGCTGTCCTCCTGAGGGTGACCTGACTGCTGTGGGGGTACACGCCCATCCTTCCCGCGGGGAGGATGCTGTATGGCAAGCTGTTGAGACACTCATGAACAGGACATGTTAAAGTCTATAATGGAGTGCTGGGCAAAAAGGCGCGTGCCTGTAATCCTAGCACTCTGGGAGGCTGCGGCAGAAGGATCCAGAATTCAACGCCAGCCTGAGCTACATGGGGTTGGGGTGGGCAACGTTCTGTGGTGCGTCGCGATGTGAAGCCTCGGAACAAATTTCTGCTAAGCAGAGCTTTTATGCTTGCAGGCTCTGACGATGAGCTGACTCACTCTGGCAGCCTTCCAGGGCCTTCCTGGATTGTTCCTCCGTACCGTTCTCTCCCCTCCACAGCTCATCTCGACTTCTCTGCAGCTGATGACACACTTGACCTTGCCCTGTCAAATACAGAGTACGAATTACTCCGGTAAAGGCCAGTGGGGCCTTTCCTATCCTACGGGCATTCTGTGTTCTAAATAGCTTCTTTCCGTCGCTGCTCGTGAACAACCCAGGGGCTCTGCAGGAGAAATGAGAAGAGTCTTTAAAACGGAGGACAAATTTTTGCCGTGGAATCATACAGAATGAATTCTCACTACTCACCTCGCGGAGAGTCTGTTTTTACCTGGGGCCCACCGTGTCGTTCCTCTTCCCTCTGTAAATCACTGAAGGGGCCGGGGAGAGGACATGTGTGAGATCCGTTCGCCCCCCCCCCCCCCCCCCCCCCCCCCCCCCCGTTCCCCCCCGCAGGCTTCTGCTTAAGCACTCAGTTTGTTAGTGTTGACGGTCAGCTGGCTATTTCTGCAGCACTTCACAGCAAGCATGGGGGAAAGCCAGCTACCAAACTGTTCAAAGTGACCAGGCGTTTCTGACTAACCAGCCTGTTTCACAAAACCAACCCTCCAAGTGCCTCTGAGCTCACATTACTGACTGGATGAGGAACATTCCTTTCACTCCCAGCCCAACTTGCTGGGTCCCTGGCAAGTGCCACCATTTCATTCATCCAGGCATTTGCGGAAGGGGAACATAAACCCTCAACTGCTAAGGAGGTTGTGGGGAGGAAAGTCCCCAAAGCTCCCCAGGTTGGGCAGGCGACACAGTGCAAAGACTGTCCACCTGTCGCTTTCTCCTCCAACCAGGCATCAAGCTTCCTGCAACAAAGGAGCTCTCCTGAATTACAGCCCTGGTCCTCAGACCTGAGGCCGCTTCACTCTGGTGGGCTTGCTAAAGCAAAGTTGCTGGGCTCAGCCTCAGAATTTCCTAGTTACTAGGCCATTGGCCAAATCCCAGAGACAGCATTTTTCTTTCCTCCCTCACTCCCTCCCTCCCTCTCTCCCTCCCTCCCTCCCTCCCTCCTTTCTCTCTTCTTCTTTCTTTCTTGTTTTTGTTTTTCAAGACAGGGTTTCTCTGTGTAGCCTTGGCTATCCTGGAATCTGCTCTACGGAGCAGGCTAGCCTCGAACTCACAGAGATTTGCCTGCCTCTGCCTCCTGAGTGCTGGGATTAAAGGTGTGCGCCACCACCAGCAACAGGGCATTTCTAAAAGCTTACCAGGAAACACTGGTGATGTTAGACTTGAAAGGGAAAAATCAGTAGCCATCTTGAGAGAGCCCCCCGCCCCCACTTCTCTAAAGGTATTTGCTGACCAGCAGTTTTAGAACTGACCAGAAGCTGAACTCATGGGAAGATAAGGCTGAAACAATAAATCTATATATCCTGGACTTGGTAAAACAGGATACGGGGAGTAATGGACTCAACCGACCAGAAATTGAACTTAAAAGAAAATAGGACTGGAACAATAAATCTGAATGTATATATCCTGGGCTCAGCAAAAGCAGGACATAGGGAGTAAAAAAATCTATGTCTCTGTAGATACCCTGCATCCTGTTAGCCATCAGTAACCTCATGCTTATAGTTCAGCCAGTAACTTCAAAGAACTGCCTCACCCCTACTCCGCTTGTCCAATCCCAAGATATGTAACTCTCTGGATGTAAACCTTTCCTATATAAACCCCTTAAAGTGAGTGCTCGGGCTGTCCTCCTCCACCCACTGTGTCAAGTGTTTGGAATAAGGACCAAGCCGGGGGCTTGCTTTGTTATTAAAAAACCTCTGTGTGCTTACATTGGATATTGACTCTGTGGTGGTCTTGCTTGGGGGTCTTTCGAGAGGGCACAACAGACTCACATTTTGAAAAACAATGTGTTGAAGTATTATAAGGTTAAAATGTAATTATGTTAGTAGTGGCACGTTAAAATGTTAATATCTAGAACATAATAGAAATTTATGAGGTGAAATTGATCCTGAATTAATAACTACCACTTACTAATTACTACAGGCCTCTCACTAATTGGTTACATTTCATTTGACCTTTATTGTGTTTTATGAATCGACTATTACTTCAGTTTTCAGATGAGGAAAACTAGGCTTAGGGAATTTAACTAATTTGGCTAAGGGCAAATGAGAGCAGCAGGTTTTGAATCCAAAACTGTCTTGTGGAAAGTCAATTCAGCCAGGCATTGTGGTGTACACCTTTAATCCCAGGCCTTGGGAGGCAGAGGCAGGCAAGAGTTCTGTGAATTCAAGCCCAGCCTGGTCTACATAGTGAGTTTCAGGCTAGAGGAGGCTATATAGTGAGAGCCTGTTCCACCCCCCACCTCCCCCAAACATTAATTAGTTGGGTTGACAAGATTTTCGCTAATCCAAGAATCAAGAAGGACCAAAAATCTTAAGCAAACAGAATCGCAGGGCTCCTTTTAGCAGGTCAGAGGGCCCTTGCCGGCCAGGATCCTGATCTGGCCAGTCCTGTGTTCTTAGATACGCTTTCCATAGCCCTGCAGAGGCTGTCAAAGGACTTACTCAGAGAGGGGGAGGGGCTGATTCTCTCAACGCTGCGCTATTCAAAGCATGCTCAGCCCTCACCTCATTAGCGGCGGCATGGAGGCGCTGGCCCTGCCAAGTCACAATGTGCCTTTGATGCGGCTCTGGGGAGCTGTGCACACAGTATGGAGAAGCCCGGCTTACAGCAGCAGCTCTCAGGCCTCCAGTCCCTTTAAAGTCATCAGAAGCGCTTTTTAAAAACCCTGCTGCCCAGCCTTCACCTTAGAACAATGCTGCCAGATGTTCCGGGGCCAGAGCCCCAGCACCAGGAAAATGGAAGGTCTCCAAGGAACTTTAATGGGCAGCAAGGCTGGAATCATCTTCTAAAGTACGGATGAGAGAAGGAGGAAGAATCAGCTGCCCTCTAAAAAATATTTGCATTTTTCTCTGGGACTCTAGCAGACTAAAAAGGCTTCAACATCTAAAGGAATTCATCTCGGTTTGTGCGGTGTGAAGGGAAGCACCCTAATAAGGGAAAGGCTATGGCGGAGCAGGACACTCTTGCATCAAAGAAACGCTTGGCATTCTTTGTAATTATCGAATAAGCTTTGATCATGATTTCATTAAGTAACTATAAAACAGAGCATCACAAATTCTCTCCTATCTCTATTCATGGTGGGGGGTGGAAATCACTTACCCATCCCAAGTGTACTTCCAGAACAGGTGACTGTAAAAAAAACCAAAACAACAAAACATAAGCACTGAAAATACACTCATTGATGTATTTATTTATGGTGTGTGTGCACGCGTGTGCTCGCGTGTGAGTTTGCATGGGTGTGGAGACCTGAGGCTGATGTCAGGGGTCTTTCTTTGATGCTCTCCACTGTTGGCATTTGAGACAGTGTCTTTTTCTCCCTGAACCTGAAGATCATTGATTTGGATAGGTTGGCTAATAAGCTTCAGGGATCTGCTCATCACCCCGCCTCCCCCAACGAGCACTGGGACTACAAGCATGTGCTACCACACCTGGCTTTTTACTTAAGTTCTGGGGATCCAAACTCGGGTCCTTAACATTGTGTGGCAGGCACTTTACCCACTGGGCTGTCTTCCCCGCCCTATTGATGTATGTCAGATGGAAAAGCTACACATTCAAAAAAGAAGAAAAGGGCTGGGCGTGGTGGTGCACACTCGTAATAGGAGCTACTTAGACAGCTGTGGCCACTATGGGCAATTTAGCAAGCCATTGTTTCAAAAATGAAGTTTTAAGAGGAGGCTAGGGAAAACCCCGGGGGGAGGTGGTGGGGATGTTAGCTCTGCAGTATGGTGCTTGCCTAGCATGCACAATGCCCTGAGTCTAATCTCCAGAACGGCAAAAAAACAAAAACAAAAAACAAACAAACAAAAAACCCCCAAAAGGCAAAACAAAAACAAAAACAACAGCAACAAAACAACAAAAAACAAAAGCAAACAAACAAACATACAAACAAACAAGCAAAAACCCAATAAATGGAAAGTAGGCCAAAGATAAAGAGGAAAAAACTCAAATAAGAGAAGGCAATGTTGAGGTAGGCGAGCATAGGGAATGGTTTGGTGGCCTGCGACTCTACCAGGTTCGGGCTGTACACACAGTCTCCTAACTCCTCTGCAGTGCACAGGCTATGCACACATGTCCCTCTCCAAACAACGCACCTAGCAACCTCAGGCTCACATTTGCACCGAGCTCCATGTCCACCCCTCTCTGACGGTGGGATAGGTTTCTCCTCTCCTAAGAACAACCACACATGGACAATTTCCATTAAAAAATATTTCAAATGTATCAGTGTGGGAAGAATGGAAAGGATGACCTGGCCTGAACTGATTTGGGGCTCATGAGTAGTAAGGCAAACTATGTCCTCCAAGTGTGCTTTTAGGAGGGATCCTCCAGTTACCATTCCAAGTCTGTGCATAATTGGGCCTGTATACAATTTAGTGACTTGCAGAGAATTGTGGTAGATACAGACTTGGGAGCTATTGAGTCTCAGTTTCCTTAATTATAAATTGGACACAGTAAGGTCTGCTGAATCTACTTCTTAGGGTTATTTTGAGCATTCAACCAGATATAAATGTGAGGACACTTGTTAAGTTGTAAAATATCCAGCAAGCATGACATGTTGTTATTGAGTGGTGAGCTCATCTTCCAAAGAGCTCATCTGTACCCCAAGAATCTACTCAGAAGGCTGTGTTATGGGCCAGATTATTTGCGGGGGGGGGGGGGGAGATTAAAAAAAATAACATTCAAAGCATGACATCTAAGATTCGCGGGAACACCCCTTCAGGAAGAACTGGCCATGTGCTGTCACCAGGAGCCATCTTGGACTTCCTGTCACCTCCGTTTAATTAGAAAATTAGACTGCTTATCAGTAAGGGTTCATGACTCATCTTTTCTTCTTCCTGTGTTCACCTGCCAAGTTCCAAGGCCTTGTTATTGCGTTTCTCTTCTTTCTCTTAGAAGTACATGAAAAATATATGACTGTGCCCTGGGTAGGGTAGCAGAGGGTGCTGGGACACAGAACAAGAGAATTGCTAATGTCTCCTGCCAGCTCTGCTGAGATGACCTGGCAGACAGCCCTGGTTTGTGATCACAGCCTGTCTACCCACACATATTTCCAGCCCTGATTTATGATTTATAAATTCCCTTTTCTTTGATCCTCAAACTTTTCCCTCATCCTCATTCTCAATCTGTGCAAATGAAACTTCAAGACTGTTTTTTTTTTCCTTTTTTCTTTCTTTTTTTTTTTGGTTGGTTTTTTGAGACAGGGTTTCTCTGTGTGACAGCCCTGGATGTCCTGGAACTTCCTTTGTAGACCAGGCTGGCCTGGAACTCACAGAGAGCTGCCTGCCTCTGCATCTCAAGTGCTGGGATAAAAGGTGTGCATCATCATTGTCCAGGAAAGTTCAAGTCTTTTAAGGTCCAACATGACAAGGTGTCAAGTGGCATCTCTAGACTATGTTTAAAAATCTGTCCCCAGATCTCCAATCACTTTAATTCACTTTCTCTGAAAATACTAAGTATCTGATCCACATTAAATAACAAAACACCACAATTCTAAAGAAGTCTGAATGCCTGCAGCTTGTAGACAATCCACACCCAACAGTTAAGTGGGATTGCCCTGCATCTTAATTCACGGAGCTGAGTGAAAGGTTAGTTTTAATATTTTTCGGGTTTATTAATTTTGTGTATGTGAGAGTGTGGGTACACGGATGTACACAAACCATTGTATGTGGAGGTCCGAGGACAACTTGCAGGAGTCAGTTCTCTCCCTCTACTGTGTGCTGGCTAGTGTTATGTCAACTTGACACCAGCTGGAGTCATCTGAGAAGGGGGAACCTCAACTGAGAAAATGCCTCCATAATGGGCCGTAGGCAAGCCTGTGGGGGTGTTTTCTTGGTCAGTGACGGATGTGGGAAGGTCCAGGTCATGGTGAATGGTCCCACACCTTAGCTGGGTTCTGTAAGAAAGCTGGCTGAGCAAGCCATGGGAGAGCAAGCCAGTGAGCAGTGTTCCTCTACCGTCTCTGCGTCAGCCCCCGCCCTAACTTCCCTCGGTAATGGAAGTGCAAGCAAATAAACCCCTTTTCTCCACAAGCTGCTTTTGGTCATAGTGTTAAATCACAGCAATAGAAACCCTAACAAAGCCGGGTGGTGGTGGTACATGCCTTTAATCCCAGCACTCGGGAGGCAGAGGCAGGCAGCCAGCCTGGGCTACCAAGTGAGTCCCAGGAAAGGCACAAAGCTACACAAAGAAACCCTGTCTCGAAAAACCAAAAAAAAAAAAGAAACCCTAACGAAGACACACAATGCGGGTCCTAGGGATTGAACTCGGGTCATCGGCTTGCCTGGCCAGGCAAGTGCTTTCACCCACTGTCCTGGTTAGTTTTTATTACCAACGTGACATAGTTTAAGTCACCTGGGAAGCAGAAGCCTCAGGTGAGGAATTTTCTCCATCAGATCGACCTGTGGACATGGCTGTGGGAAATTGTCTTTCTTGACCATTGATGTAGGACGGCCCAGTACACTGTGGACAGTACAATCCATAGGCAGGGGGACCTGGGCTGTTTGAGAAAGGGAGCTGAACCTGAGTCTGAGAGCAAGCCGGTAAGCAGCATTCCTCCATGTTTCCGGCCTCTGACTTCCCTTGATGATGAACGGTGACCGATAAGACAAACAAATCCTTTTCTCCCCTTAGTTGCTTTTGATCATGGTGTTTATCACAGTAACCAAAAGCAAACTAGAGTATCCACTGAGCCATCCTACCAGCCCCAGGGTTAGTGTGAATCTTCCTTGTGTGTTTTCTTTTGGACGCTGGGGCCTTGCGCATGCTATGCTAAGTGCTGTACCACTGAGCAGCATTCAGCTCAAAGGTTGGTTTTAAACTAAGGCTCATAACTTGATTTACCTGAATATATCTTCTTTGGACAGAACGTAAGCTTCAGTCCTGTTTCAGCAACTGGTGAGACCATCACAGTGTACACGTCCCCACAGGGGATGTCGGTGACATCGCAGAAACTTAGGCCAGCACTTGGGGCACACGTGAAGATGCCTTTGGAACCATAGAGGTCAGTACTGTAATTGGCAGAGCCCCTGGAGGCTTGCCAGTAGATCCGGATGCCGTTAGGGCCCAGCCTATATAATTTGACCCCCAGCGGGCAGCAGGCACCTACAGGAGAAAAACAAGCCCAGAATTATTCATTTCATCATCACGTGAGCACAGCCGTGTGTACAGTTACTACAGAGGGGGAAGCGCAGCTCAAGTCCTGTGCATAGAATGATTAATCTCTGGCCCCCACAGCCTCATATATTTGAAAGCTTGGTCCCCAGTTGATGGAATTGTTTGGGAAGGATTAGGAGGTGTGGCCTTGTTGGAAGAGATGTGTCACTGGGGTGGGTGGGCTTTCAGGTTTCAAAAGCCCATGCCAGGCCCAGTCTCTCTCTCTCTCTCTCTCTCTCTCTCTCTCTCTCTCTCTCTCTCTCTCTCTCTCTCTCTCTCTCTCTCTCTCCTTGCTCCAGGTCAGCCAAGGCTACACAGAGAAACGATATCTTGAAAAACAAAACAAAACAAATAAAAAACAAATGGAAAAAACGTTGCCTTGGTCACATTAAACAGTAGTTAAGATATCAATATTCAAGAGCTAGAGTTCAGAGTTCACTTACTGGAGGAATAACTTTGGTGGGCACAGTCTGCGGTCAGCCCAGTGGGGCTAATGGCCTTTAGTGCCACCGTGTAGTTGATGCCGCACGCAACGCATCCCAGAAGGCAGTGGTTCTGACGGGTGTGACACTTAGACTGTCCGATGTGTGACTCCAGCACCGTCACGTAGGTTTGAGCCGCTGTCCCAAGAGTCCAGCTCACGTTGATTAGAGACTGGGAGACCTGAGCTGCTGTCAGACCAGCTGGACAGCACGGCACTGATGGAAAAAAGGGAACAGAACTGAGTTTTACCCCACGGAGTGCTTGTAGACCATAACCAGTCACCGGCTTTGAGGCTGCACTCGGGCTAGAGCCCTTGAGGAGCAAGCTGAATCCAATCCCTGGGAGCTCACAGTGGAAGCGGAGAATGTACTCCACAGTCCTCTGACCTCCACACACAGCTGATATGTTCACACACACACCCCCATCATACATGTGCACTCACACACAATAATAAATAGCTAATAAAAAGAACAGGACTTTGCTCACGTTTTACTCAAAATCCTAAGTTTCCCATGTTTTCTCTTTTTAGCGCGCCACCACTGCCCAGCCAGTCAATGCTCTTAAACCACTGATATATCTCTCCAGCCCCAGAAACTAAACTCAGAAAGTGTTTTTAGAGAAAAATTTGAAAAGGCTCAACTAGAGATATGAATAATCAGATCATTTGGTTTCCTGTTAGCTGTTTTGACAGTGGCTTGGGATAATATAAATTCTAGAGAAGGTTTGTGCAGGGTCAGCGTATTGCTCCTTAGATGGGAATGTTGGGCAAGACAAGAGAATTCTGAAGATACATTTACAAAACGTGTAAAATGACAAAGGTTCCCCCCCCCCAAGACTGGGACTCTTTGAAAGCCACTGAGTATTGTAGTACCATATTTCCATCATTCTTAGGGCAGATTAAATAAGATCCCTGTCCTCAAGCAAGGACTCACCCAGTCGGGGTTTCTCCATACCTGTTTCCAGGGGCACGCTGTAGCTGGGCAGGCTCTTTCCCGCCCGAGTTTCGGCCACGGCCGTGACGGAGAACACAGAGCCGCAGGGCAGGCCCTCAATAATGCAAGTCTCCCCGGTACTGCTACACCGGAACAGCCCCCTCTGCCCATGGGCAGTCACCGTGTAAGTAGCGCCTTCATTGGTAGATCGCCAGTGCACATTAATCGTGGAGAATGCATCCTTTGAAATATTTTTTATCTCAGGACTGCAAGGGGCTAAGAAGTGTTAGATTATTAATTTGAACACCAGAGTCAAAAGTGCCACGTGCCATTTGATCTAAAATGGATTCCTCTCCCTCCCATCCCCCTAGCAAAAAACAAAAAACAAAAAACAAAAAACCCATCGGGGCTGGGAATATGGTTCAGTTGGTAGAGGACTTGCCTAGACACACTAAGCCCTGGGTTTCATCCCCAGCACTGTAGCGACTAGGCTGGGAACCACACCCTGAATCCCAGCATTTGGGAGGCAGAGGCAGGAGCATCAGAAGTTCAAGGTCATCCTTGGCTGCACGGTGAGTCTGGCTAACTTGGGCTACATGAGACCCACTTCAAAAAAGAAAAGTACATTGAAATGAAGCCATGTATGGTGGCTTATGCCTGTAATCCTAGTACTTGGAAGCTGAAGCAGGAGGATTGCTGTGAGTTTAAGGCCATCCTAAGTTAAAGAGACAGTCTAAAAAAAATAAAATAAGTTATTTATTAAGAAAGATCACCTGGTGGGGGAGGAATAAAAGGAGAAAATGACAGAATGGTAAAATATATTATGTATGGATGAAATTGTGGAAAAGTATTCTTTCTTTTTTTTCCGGAGCTGAGGACCGAACCCAGGGCCTTGCGCTTAAGCGCTCTACCACTGAGCTAAATCCCCAGCCCCAAAAAATATTCTTTCAAAAAACTAAAACTACAATTTTCAAACATACATGCACATAGGTCAGATTCACAGAACCTTTTTGCAGAAAAATGTTGACATTGGCATAGGGTATTAGGTTCCTGCAGTTTTGCGCCAACTGGAAAATAAAACATTTTAAACTTCAAAATCCAAAATACCCAGGACAAACATCTGCACACCTCATGGAGAGAGCAGGCAGGCAGTCTCCAGTGGCAGCAGGAACAGGATGGCCGAGGTCAGTAATCTCTGCCCCCAACCCCCATCTCTCGGTGACCTCTTCTCTTACTGTCTTCCTTTCCACTTTCCCTTTTTAACTTTCTTCTCTGCCTCTCCTCAATTCAGTAATCCATGTATGTCCGAGTGTGGGTTTGGACACATGCATGCAGTGCCCACAGAGGCCAGAAGAGGGCATCAGATCACTGGATCTTGAGCTACATGAGGCTGTGAGCCTCCTGATGTAGGTGCTGGCAACTGACCTTCTATCCTCTGTAGGAGTAGTAAGCACTCTGAACAACTGAGCCACCTCTCCAGCCCCCTTTTATGTGGGTCTTGCTGAATAGCCATCGTGAGGCACATAGGGAGGGTGACGATTCAGACATCAGTGAATGACAGCGTAGTAGTACCGTACCCGTGGTGATGTAGCGGGAAGAGCAGGACAGATTGCTGCCCCGGACCTCGCTGAAGGAATACACCGTGATGTTGTACTTGGTGTCACAATCCAAAGCAGAGAGGGTGCAAGCAGGAGCAGGGTCGTTGCACTCCACCACACTGTACCCAGCTATGGCCTTGGTTTCATAGAGTTCGGCACCACGCACAGGAGACCAGGCGATTTCCACTCTGTCACTGGACACCAACACCGGGCTAATGTCATTAGGACAACAGGGAGCTGAAAGCGGGATCCCAAAGGGAACCAAGGTCAGTACAGGAGCCATGCTACCAGAGGGGGATATTGAGTCTTGCCACTGCCTTCCTAAATGATTGCAAGACGACTGGTCAGCTCCAACCTTGACCTTATTCCCACCGCACCCGGGGCAAGTCCTCCATATGACACCTGAGGGTACATCAGACCTCCCAGGTCTACGCCTGGCCTTTGCTCTCACTTCTCTATGTCTCTGCTAGAAAACCCGATCTCTTCTGTCTGATAAAGTCATACTGAGCCTGAGTCCTCAGATGCTGTCAGTCTGCCTAGACTCTAAACAGATAAAGATGGGGTATGCATATATGAGGATTGTACTAGTAACTCTTAAAAGAGGCCCAAAGAACCCCACTGACAAATATCTAGTTCAGCTTGAGATTTCTCTGGTGTTCTTCCCACCTACATTCCATCCATTCTTGAACTCCGGTTTGAGGCCACTCCTGTGCTCTTGAGACCTTGTTGACAACCTCTTCTGAATTCCCAAAGCACCAGTTATTCAGATCCCTCACCCTGGTAGAGTTTATCATAATCCACCCTTGGAACACTTTATAATTATAATATTCTATAAATAATTCATTTCAAGGCGCCCACTCAATCATTCTCTAAAGATCTAGTATCTCCGTATGCTCGTAGCACTGGGATTAGAAACGATGACAGAGAAATAAATCACGCACCATCCCTGCCCCATGTAAGCCCCAATCCTAGAGGAGGAGGAGGAGGAGGAGGAAGACAGTGATGGTAACCAAGACAACAGATGCTGATAATGATGTAATAGTGCTGCCAGTAAAAACATTTGCTTTCTGCTTTATCACATACAAAGACCCTTTTCCCACCTGTGTTGTTATTGGCCCATTTTGCCGTGGAGGGAGGATGTTGAGGGGGTGGGAAGGCACCCACCATTAGCCTACTGTGTGAGTGAATTAGAGTTAAGGTTGGACGTAATCCCAGGTGTCCAACTCCAAAGCCCTCCACACCAGGTAGCATCTGGGCCACTGCATGTGTCGTGTCCAGGGAAGGACTGTGATCCTGAAATGGAGGGACTGCATCCCCTTCAGAACCTCAGGCAGGCCTGGGGTTTGAGTGGGAACTTCGTTTTCCAGGGTAGGGTTGAGCGAACGCCTTTCCCTCCTCCACTCTCATGCCTAATCTTGCAGTCTTGTTAGACTGAGTCTCCGAAACCAACTCATCCCTACTCTGGAGAGAATGTAAAACAAGGGATTTAAGAGCTAGTCTTGGTTCTAGAATGACTCCCAGATGGTGAATCAGTAAGTACAAGAGGTTGTTCATCCTGCTGCTGAGTTTCCTGAACTCGGAACTCTCTTTCCTGGCATCGCCATGACTTACCTGTGGTGTAATTGAACACATCACCCAGGGGGCTCTGTCCTGCTTTGTTATAGGCGAATACACTAATGAAGTATGTGAAGCCACATTCGGACAGGAAGGTGCACTGAGTGAGGGAAGTATTGCAGTGTACTTCCAGGCCATCGTCACTCTTCACGAAAGCCACATAGTAATCGCCCAGCTCTACATTAGACCAAGCCACGGACAAGTGACCAGGGGGGTCTTCTTGGATTGTCACTCTCCCAGGTGCACAAGCCACTAGGAAGCAATAAAAAAAGAAGCAGTCATATGACTCTCGTAGGAGACTTTCTTTGCATCTTGGCAGTTATCTGAGATGTCAAGACAACCCAAATCAGCAACTCGGAGTTTTGTAACAGATTGAATTTGATGCAAAACATGCAGAGCCATGTACCAGAAACATTAGAGGATATTTTTATAGAAACAAAGACTACACTAGACACCAATGAGCTCTCCAAATTCTTTCATTATAACAAATGTTATCTGAAATAATAGGCCATTGGAAGTGTTTATTTGTTTGAAACAGGGTCATATGTATCCCAGGCTTCACTAAAACTTACTAGATATCGAAGGATAACCTTGAACTTCTGATTCTCTGGCCTGTATCTCCTAGGTGCTTGGATTACAGCCACACTAACTTTTTATGTGCTTCTGGAGTTCAAACCCGGGGCTTTGTGCATGCTAGGCAAACACATTAGCAACCAGCCTGTATCCCCAGCATAGGCCACGGGAGCTTGAGAGTCAACTTAAGATGTGTGGATTTTGTCAGATGTGGTGGTGTATGCTTTTAATCCCAACATTTGGGAGGCAGAGGCAGGAGGATCTCAGGGAGTTTGAGGACAGCTTGGTCTACATAGTGAGTTCCAGGACAGCTAGGACTACATAGAGAGACCCCGTCTAAGGGGAAAAAAAAAAAAAGTGTGGGTTTTCATTTTGGGGATATTTATGGAAAGATTTTGACTTTATTCAGAGATGAAGTCTGTTTGATATGAGCCAAACAGTAAATGCCTGTAACTTACCTTTTTCAAGGCAAAAATACACCCATTATGGTTTTTTGCTAACACTTTCTTTTATTCTCACAATAATTACCATCATTTTATAATTGAGTAAAATGAAGCTCACACAGGATAAATAAGTTGCCCCAGATAATATAGCTAGAAAGGTAAGGTGTGGCGGTTTGAATAAGAATGGCCCTATATGTTCATGTATTTGAATGCTTAGTCATCAGGGAGTGGCACATTTGAGAAGGATTGGGGGGTGTGGCCTGGTTGGAAGAAGTGTGTCACTGTGGGTGGGCTTTGAGGTTTCAAAAGCCCATGCCAGGCCCAGTCTCTCTCTTCCTTCTGTGGCCTGTGAATCAGCATGTAGTCTCAGGGACTGCCATAGTGCCATAAGTGCCACCAAGTTCCCTGCCACGATGATAACGGACTAAGCCTCTGAAAGTATAAGGAAGCCCCCAATTAAATGCTTCCCTGTTCAAGAGTTGCCATGGTGATGGTGTCTCTTCACAGGAGTAGAGCAGTGACTAGGACACAGGGGGTATCTGATTCTTTCTGGGGGCTGCGTGAAAACCTTTATAGAGTGGGGAGTTCTAACTGCCACCTTCTATGCACGCAGTGACCCAACCACATTCTTGAGCCCACTCCATCTCCAGAGAGCATCCTGAGCAGATAGGTAGAATGCTAAATGCTCAGACAAGTACCGAATCAAACGATAAGCACAACTCGGTGCAAACCAAGGAGATATGTTCAGACACCCTCCATTTGTATTTCATGTGATAGATGTTACACTATCTCTTCCACAGACATGGATCTCCTTGGCTGATGTTGCTTGGGTTTTTATGTCAAGGCGATAGTTGTTTTTTGTTGTTGTTTGTTTTTGTTTTTGTTTTTTCAAGGCAGGGTTTCTCTGTGTAGCTTTGGCACCTGTCCTGGACCTCACTCTGTAGACCAGGCTGGCCTCGAACTCACAGAGATCCGCCTGCCTCTGCCTCCCAAGTGCTAGGATTAAAGGTGTGCACCACCACTGCCTGGCCATAGTTCTTTTAGCTAAGATCAGCATGGACTGAAGTCTTCTGAAGGGATGATTTCAAATGAAGGTCATCCATTCAAACCATAAGCTTTTGAAAGTTTTTGTCATCTCTACTATAAGTCCTCCTAAAACAGAGTTCACATTTCTGGGCCCTTGGGAACTATAATCCTTTCTAAACATAGTTCTTTAATTGACAAATCAAGGTTTTCTCATGGTCAGTACTGACTGTGTCATATCCACACTACAGTGGTAATTCCTGGACCAATAAGGGCAGGAATTGAAAGTTGGAAGGACTCTTTCGGTAGCACTTAACACTGACAACATGTTAAAAATCAATTGGGGAGCTTTTAAAAACTATTCTATTTAGACTCTATTCCCAGAAATCCCAATTTAATTGATCTTGGTGGGACTCGGGTATTTAGATTTTATGAACATTTCCTACATACTTTTGATGTGCATCTGAATTTAAGAACACAGGATGGTTCTCTCCTGCATTACACAACTGATTCAGAATGTCTACGTCTTTGAAGTGTTTATCTCTCCCTTCACCCTCAGCCACTCTGTCTTCAGAATCACTTTTATTGTACCTGCTACACGACCTTGAAATTGTCAAAAGCGAGGTCTAATCACCAAGCTTGTATTGGTGACCTTAATTTAACCACTCTAAGAAGCTGTGGGTCTGAGAGTTTGACTGTATTTTTCCCCTTGAAGAAGAGAGGACACTAGCTTGGTGAGAGTTCCAATCCTCTGGTCAGAGTCCTTTTCACTTTACAAAGACATAGTTCTGACCATTGAACAGAGTGGACATTGATACATTGTCTTCAGCCCGGAGGATCGCAATCAGGTACAGGTGAGTGCAGATCTCAGCGGCCCCTTTTGTTATCGGTGTGCACTGGAGGAAACAGCCTTCATGGTCTCTGAGCTTCAGTTTTTGTATCAAAAAGGAAGAGATAAGCCAGACCTGGTGGTGCCTGCCTGTGACCGCAGCACTTGGGAGATGGAAGCTGGAGGATCAGGAGTGCAAGGCCAGACCCAGCTACAGAAGTGAATTTGAAGCCTACCTGAGCTTTATTAGAGCCTGATTCAAACAAGCAAACAAACAAGCAAAAATAATAAAAGAGACAACTCGTAAAATTATCCTAAGAGTTAAGTAGTGTAATTATGGTGCCTGAGATGTTGTAGATCTCACTAAATGTTTGTTCCAACTCCCCAGACAAACAGACACTTCTAAATGGAGCAGCAAACCTCCACGTGCGTGTGTGTCTTTACATCTCTAACAAGAGTAAAATTGGGGAAATACTGAACACACTTAGAACTAGAAATCTCCCACCTTTAGTTTTTAAAACAGCTTCTACCAAGCCTCAGTCATAAAACATGTCAAGAAGAGACAGTTAGGGGCTGTGGAGACAGCTCAATGGGTCAGAGTACTCTCTTCAGTCGTGAGGACCCAAGTTTCAATTCCTAGAATCACACAAAAAGCTGATGGCTATGCATGTGTGTGATCCCCGCGTCTGTGGATGCCGACGGGCGGATCTTCCAGACTCACTGGCCAAACTGGTACCTTCTGGTTCAGTGAGAGGTGGTTGAGTGCTTGCCAAGGCAAGAAGGCAGGAGTGACGGGAGTGACAGGGAGGATGCCTGATGTCCTGCTCTGGCCTCCATGGAGGCACACATGGCTGCAAGCATCCTCATACTTATATGTGTGCACCACACATATCACACATGAATGAGCAGTTAGTTACTTGTACTATGAAGAACTGTAAATAACAAACGGTGTCTTAGAATTTTCAAAACTTTAAAAATTAAAACAGCAAGCAGTTCATGTAGAAGGCTCTCTTGAGCCCTGGAATTCAAGACCGGCTTGGATAACAACATGAGACCTTGTCTCGAAATGTAAAATAAAATACAATGAAATAAAAGAAAAGCATATAATGAAATAAAAGAACGATGAAAAAGGAAAAGAGTGAAAGACCAGGAATAGAGGCCACACTTGTGAATGAATAGTCAAAGGAGTGCTTTTTTGCAATATATAATACATGCTTCTCATTGATATTATTCACTCATCAAAACCCCCAGCTCAATACTTTCATTTAGACCAGGGTTAGCTTTCTTTTTTTTTTCTTTAAAAAATAGTCTATTATTACTATTATTATTATTATTACTATTATTATTATTATATTGTGTGTATGTGTAATGTGGTGGGGGAGGAAGCAGCAGCGTGAACGTGGAGGGCAGACACAACTTGGTGGAGTTGGTCTCCTTCTACCTTTGTGTGGGTTCCTGGATTGAGCTCAGCTCTGTGCAGCGAGCACCTTTACCCACTAAGCCCTCCTGACAAGCCTCTCTTTTCTTTTTTTACAGACAAGCTCTTGCTACACAGCCCCGGCTGGTTTAGTACTCAGTATGTAGCCCAGGCTGGCCTCAAACTCATGGCAATCCTGCTGCTTCAGCTTCCCAAATGTTGGGACTACAAATACATGTCCATCTTAGACCAGGCTTTGTTCTTCACTGCCTCTGGAATATTCTAGAAGCTTGCTGGGGATTTCTGTTCCCCTTATGGCAGCCACGCTGAACACCGGCCCTGCAGGGCTTTCTCTCTTTCTCACATACCGGTCTTCAGGGTCACTGCAGAGGATGACCTGCTGGACCCAGCGTCGTTACTGGCCGAGACAGAAATCAGGTACTCCGTTCCACACTGCAGGGAACCGATGCTACAGGAACTCAGAGCTGTGCTGCAACTCCGCTGGGAAGAATCGCTGGACGCCATCACGGTGTAGTTGAACGCTCCTTCTGTTGGTGTCCATGAAACAGAAGCCTTCAGGGCCCCGCTGTCAAAGACGACTTGAATATTGGCAGGGGCACGAGGACCTACGTTTTTGAGAAACAAGAACCTATGTAAGATTTAGCTTAGTAATGCTGAGGCCATCAGGAAATACGAGACTAGTAGCTAGTAAACTAAGTTGTTCAGCTTAAAATTGGGACTTAGTGTACCTGGAATTGGTAATGTAATGGCCATTACTGTGCAGACTCATTCTTAGCTATGCAGCCTGGGTCATATTATTTAATCTTTTTCTTTGTAAAAACTGATATAAGAGCACTATTTAACACATAACTGACATTTAAAAGCATACTTTGAATACATAAATATACTGACAAGTGGTGAAAAATCCCATTGGGGAAGCCTGGGATGGTAGTATAATTCAGCCCTTAGGATGCTGAAGAAGGAACATTGGAAGTTCACACCAACCTGTGCTACGTAGTGAGACCCTGTATCAAAAAGACCAAGCAACCAACCAAACAAGAAGAAAATGGGCATGGGCATGTGAAAGACCGAAAGGTCATCTGAGTATGTTGTCACACGGTAGGTCAAATGTTTTCTCTATTATTGACCCACGAAGCTAAATGCATCGTTTCTTAGGCTGGGAAAGCAGCTCCGTAGCAAAGTGTTTGCCAAGCATGGGGGTAGAGAGCGGGGGCAAGGTTCAGTCTCAACCCCCAACGCCCCCTTTTGTTTTTGACCTCTGATGACTTCTTCTCTTAACAGCTTTTAGTTCACAGTCGCCTCTAGATAGGCAAGCGGCCCATTCTAAGTCAAAGGATAGAAAAGTCTCAAATATAAGTTCACACGTGATGGTCGTCTTTCCCCCATTCTTATAAACATGCCTCGATGTCTTCGTGGTTAAACTGTTTACAGACCTGGAGGACTGAGCCAGCCAGGCGGCTTAGCTGCCAAGCCTGACCTGAGTCCAGAATCCGCATGGTGGAAAGAGAGAACTGACCCCTGCAAATTGTCCTCTGACCTTCACATGTGTGTCATGGCATGAATCACACACACACACACACACACACACACACACGTCGAAGTAAGAGAACTACTTGTTAAAAAACTGGAGAGCAGGCGCTCCTGAGGAAAGGTTGTTGGCCTCAGGTCTCCTGGGGAGTCTGCACGGACTGGTTCCACCGAGCACAGCCTCCTCACACATCTGTGGTACAGGGGAGGCTCTGCCTGAGGAGACAGTTAGACACTGACTCATTCTGTTTGAGGAAGGTACCCTCCCTGTTTCCCTTACAGGCCATCTTGACAGGACCTTTCCCCCATACACGGTCTGCTTGTCCCCAGAGAACCCTCCGCTTCTCCCTTGAGGTAGCGCTGGGTCAAGGCTGGTAGGGGTTGCCTGGAGTGTCTGAAGACAACTAACTTTCCAACCCAAACATAGGTAACTTATGGAAACAGGTAGGACATTGGAAGACTGTCACGGGCTAACCTGGGTGCTCCAGAATGCACATGCTGACTCGCTGCCCCTAGCACTCCAGAAAGTGACCTTATTTGGAAATAGGGTCATAGGTGATATAAGTTAGTTAAATGAGGTCATTAGGATGGGACCTAATCCAACAAGATGATGTCCCTAGAAAGAGAAGAAATCTGGACACTGGCGTATGCATATAGAGGAAGCACAAGGTGAACAGAAAGACGGCCACACACAGGCCAAGGGGAATATACCTTTCCGGATATATCCTTCCTTAGTTCTCTGGAGGGACCAACCCTGCCAATGCCTGGATTTTAGGTAAACTTAGCCTCCACAACTGTGGAACAACTGATTTCTATTCCTTAAGCCACCCAGCCTGTGGTATTTTCTGGCAGCAGCCCTAGAAAGCTGACACAGAGACAAAATCCGGATTCTAAAACAGGAGGAAACAGTGAGGTGCCCTGGTGCATGACAGCCGGGGGCAGGCAGAGCAGGAGTCAAGGCCAGCCTTGCTACAGAGTGAGCTCCAAGGAAGCTGGGGAACTCGGTCTCCAATAAAAACCAACAAAACAAAAGAAAAAAACCCGGGGAAACATCAAAAGGGAGAGAGGAAAGCAGGTGGTGACATCTGTCTCTCTTTTGCCCCGGTCTCAGGGACCATCACACAAGAGCAGAAAGAGATCAGAGAGGGAGGTCGGGGAGAAACCCACGTGGAACAGCATCTCTGGACATGTCAAAACCACTGCGTGAGTGAACTCCAATCAGCTATGGCTGCTCCCCGAGGCTGTCACAGATTGGGCTAGTCAGCATCCCAGCATCGAGGGGGAAGGCGTTCAGGAGCCCTTGCTATTAACTGAGGAGCCATTGACAGTTGATGGCTTCTGGAGGAGGGCAAGGCAAGTTATTCAAGGGTGTGGCCCCTGGTAGACTGACTAAGCTCCAATGACCTCACACCCAAGAGTATATGGGCAGCACAGATTAGTCTTGCTGGATTATATTTTTTAACTTTATTTTAAATGATTTATTTGTTTTTATTTCATATGCATTGGCGTTTTGCCTGAGTCTGTATGAGGGCATTGGATGTCCTGGAACTGGAGTTACAGACAGTTGTGAGCTGCCATGTGGGTGCTGGGAATTGAACCTGGGTCCTTTGGAAGAGCAGCCAGTGCTCTTAACCATTGAGCCATTTCTACAGCCTCTGCTGGATTATTTCTTAAGGCGGGCAGCTAGAGAGATGGCTCAGTGATTAAGAGCACTGGCTGCTCTTCCAGAAGAGGGGGCGGGGGTGCAGATTCCCAGCATCTACATGGTGACTCACCGATGTCCAGGGGATCTGACACTCTCTTCTAGCTTCCTCAGGCAACAGGAATGCACATGGTATATAGACTTACAGGCAGGCAAAATGCCTATACACACTTTTTTTTTAAAAAAAGACATGAAGTTGGGGATGAAGGATGAGGTGGGTCTGAGAGGAGTTATGGGGAGCAGTAGGGGTGAATATCAAAGTATATGTATAAAATTCTCAAAAACTAACCCAGCAGAGGTGGTGCACGCCTTTAATCCCAGCACTTGGGAGGCAGGTCTCCAGGCCAGCCTGGTCTACAAAGTGAGTTCCAGGACAGCCAAGACTGTTACACAGAGAAACCCTGTCTTAAAAACAACAACAAAACAAAACAAAAATTCTCAAAAACTAATAAAAATATTATTGAAAAAGAAACCAGGTGGCTCTCTTGTTCCCTGCCCTGGTGTAGACGCTCCTTCCTGGGCACACGGTACCGTGTACATTCCAGCAAAGTCCTTTGTTACACGTGACCATAACGTCCACGTTCTACGTCTTTGGACAGGCTCAGTTCTTTGGGTGCAGGGATTGCTTCGTTTCATCTTGTACTCCCAGCTGCTAAATGTTTCCAGGAAGACGAGGGGGAGGAAAGAGAAGGGAAGGTGGGAAGGAGAGAGGAGAGGAGAGGAAAGAGGAGAGGAGGGGCCAGGGCAGGCAAGCCTCTAAAAGGCCCAGGAAGGCTGGTTTGGCACAAATACCCCGAGGCATCAAGCCAACCACGAAATCACCTTGGGGCTGCTTGCCATCCTTTCCCCATATGAGTATTATGTAAGGCAAATCCTCTCTTCTCCCTGAATTTCTGCTTGGCTCAGAAGCCATGAGATTCCCATTCCAAACTTAGAGAAAGTTGAAGAGACTATTTCCAGTTTCTTCCCACCTTTCCTGGGTCCTCCCCTAAGAGATCTACTCTGCTCAGGTTGGTGAAGGTCTGGCATTTATTACACACACACACACATACACATACACACACACACACACACACACACACACACACACACACACACACACACACACCCTTGCTCCCTCTGATTCTTCAGATTCTAGCAGCTGAGTTTGGACTTCCGGTTTTCATGCTTAGGAGCACCTCCCCCACCCCCTGTGTTCCTGGGGTGGAAGGCTGAGAGAACACATTACACTCCCACTGGGCAGTTCACAGCTAGAGAAGGGGCGGTGGGCAGCCCCACGTCAGCTTCAGCCTTGTGCCCAAGTGTCGGGGAGCTATAACATCTGAAACAGAGTCTCATGTCACGCCCAGGAGCAGCAGGAGCTCGCTCTGTGCCTGTGTCCCTGCGACAATGCTGGCTGCAGGTTGGTACACACTCACTTCAATGTCTGTTGAATGAATGAATTCCTATTTGCCTCATTTTCTTTTTGTTTAGGCTGTTGGCTTGAACACAGGAGGGAAAAAAGCAGGGAATGCTTGAGTTGGTCCAACAAGACCAGGAAGGCACAAGGAAGGACTGGCCAACCTAACCAGAGCCCTTTCCTTCTGGGATCTGGAATGTGCCTGCTGTAGTGGACTTGGCTACCAGAGGGGGAAGCACTGGGCTCCACCTCACTCAGAGAGCTTTTGAACTGCTGCCGAGGAATAGTCAAGGCACTATAAATAACTTCGTAGAAATTTAAACAGCTGTTGCCAGCTGCTCCGTACTCATCACTTTGCGTTGCTCTCCACAGCCCCCTCATTAATCAAAAGTGAGATTGTTCAAGGCTGAGCTGAGGAGTCCTTACTGGTTCTCTGGTTGCAGGTGGAGTCATCCCCAGGGATTCCATTGGCATTCCACGCATAGGCCTTTATAGTGTAGAGAGTCCCAGCATCTAAACTGCTGAAGGTCAAGGAGGTGTTTGTGGTATTCTCCTTCCAAATTCTACCCAAGCCATTGGCTCGCATAACCGACACAGAGAAGCCGATGGCCATGTACACGGCATCCCACCTCACAAGGATGGAGTCTGGACTCAGAGAGCCAACTTCCAGAATTGGTGCAGCCAACACTGTTAGCAAAAACAAAAGGAAACGTGAATTCGTATTATAAAACTCTGTAGAGAATAATTCAAGTTATTGAGGGATAAATAAGTGCAAGTTGACTATCCGTTTTATTCATACCATAATGGCGGAGTTCCATTCAGTAATTGCTAATTGGAGCTGAGGATGTGGCCTGGTGGTAGAGTGCTTGTTTGTCTGACACCATGGAGGCCCTGGGCTCATTCTACAGTATGATTTTTAGGAAAGCCATTGAAGTGTACATTAAAAATAAACGATGTGGCAGGAAATGTGGACACTCAAGCAGGAGGGGTGATGCACACTTACAATCCCCAGCACTCAGGAAGCTGAGGCAGGAGGACTGCTCGGAGTTTGGGCCCAGGTTAGGCTATCCTGTCTCAAAAAAATCTGACACTAGAAAACACCAGGCAATACTTTCAGCTTGCAGTTGGTGAGAAGTTAGATAAAGTGTCCATAAAAATGAATAAGAAAAAAATGATTGTTTATACTATTTTAGTGTGCAAATTACTTTTATTTTTCAATGCTGAGAGTGAACTCAGAGCCTTGTAAATGTTAGGCCAGCACTCTCCCACCGAACTAGACACCAGTCCTTGCACATAGCTTTTCAGAAATACGCCCAGGTGTGGCTTTATGAAGTGCATTGAATGCTAATAGCAAATCCCGAAACTTTCATTTGTTACCGTATCTGCCATATGCCCGGTGCGCCGCAAAATCTGTTCCATGTGTTCCCTGTTTGGGCACGGGTAAAAACAGAACTCGCTTGTTCATGGATTTAAAAGCATTCTGCTTTTACAATTGCCCAGAAATGGATTTTAAATCCCAAAGCAGAGTACTAGGCACTGAAGTGTCACTTTCTCCACAAATTGCTGAGTCGCAATAACAAAAACAAACGAACAAAAATTGGTGGCCTTTGCCTCTGGGCCTTGCATTGTGGAACTCATGTGTGCACAAACCACACGACACATTTGCAGTGCTGTTAAAATTGATCTAAGTCACCAGCAAACACTCAGACCGCATTAGCATCCAGCTCTCTACCTGTCTTCGCCTGCTTTGGGGACGAAGCCTCGCTTTGTCCAGAGGCACTGATGGATCGGATGGTGATTTGGTACAAGGTCGCAGCCTTCAGGCCTGTCACAGTGCCTGGGGAACTGGCCACCGTGGTCTCGATGACTGTGTCCCCATCTTCAGCTGTGAGCAAATAACTTGTGGCCCCTGGCACAGTCGTCCACTCTACGGTGATACTATTGCTGATTTTTGAATATGCCTGATCAATAGTTGGTGTTTTGGGTGCTGGAAGATATTTTTGAAGTGGTATGTTAGCCAGGATACCCTACAAGGATGACATCTTTCGTCACTTCCTCCCTAAACTACATTATTCTGGTTCTTCCCATGAACATGAGCTTAAGCTTCCCTTTCCAGAGAAAGAGGGAAGCTGGGTGTGGCGGAAGCAGGGGGATGAAATTAAGGCCAGTCTGGACAACTTTACAAGACTGTCTCAAAATGCAAAATAATAATGATTATGATTATAATAGGTATCTGAATGTAGCTCAGTGGTAGAGCACTTGCCTAGCCCCTGGGCTCAACATCCAGTATCACAAAAAAGAAAGAAAAGAAGAGAGGGGCTGATGCCAGGGCTCAGAAGGCAAGGAGGCTTGCCACCAAACCTGACGATCTGAGTTTGATCCCTGGGATCCACATGTCAGAAGGAGAGAACTGACATCTGAAGTCCTCTAACCTCTATATAGGCATTGTAACATGTAGGTGCATGCACCACACAGACACACACAGGAGCATGCATGCACACCATACACACGCATGCTACACACAGGCACACACATACACACAGGCATGCATGCACACACCACACACACCCACTCATACCACACACAGAGAGACATGCATGCACCCCATACACACACACACACACACACCACACACAGGCACACCCCATACATTCACATACACACATACACACAGAGGCATGCATGCACACCATACACATGCATGCTATACACAGGCATGCGCACACACACACACACACACATACACACACGCACTCACACACAAATAAATAAGTAAATGTAATAAAAATACAAATTAAAAAAAAAGTAGAAAGAGCTAAAGAAAGAGTGGGGGAAGCTAGAAGGAACAACTGTTTTCCAAGACAGCCAGAGCACAGCCGCCACTTCCCAGCTGCCTGTGGGCCACTTGTACTTTCCATGCTTTTAAGTAAGTTAAGTAGGAGTGGGAAGAGACTGTGGGAAAGAGCTGAGAAGGGGGAGAAGATAATGGAGGGGCTTTTTTCCGGAGGCTTCTCCTCTGGTTTGGTGTTCTGTGAGTTTCCAAGGCTGCTGTGTCATTGACGCCTCCCTGCCCCCACCCGGGCAGCACCGCTTCCAGCGGGGCCCTCCGTGCCCACCTCGCTGCCTGTGGTCACTTTCTCATGACTCCGCACATTTCCCAAGTGGGCTCTAATCTAACAGAGGAAGGAAGAGAACGGAACGCTTTGTCACAGTTGCTCCATAGTGCTTTGTTACTATCGGAGCAGAACGGAGCAGAACAACTTTCAGGTTCTTCTGTATACAAGAAACTCCTTCTTCCTTTGCCTGCCAAAATATACGCCTCAGTGTAAGGCTTAGATACTGAAGCCTTTCTGGGGCTGACTGCAGTTCAGTGTGGGAATGTTCGTGTCACGAGCACACAGGAGAGCTCTTGGCTTCCAATATAGGGTGGAACATACAGTGTGAGAATCAGATCGACCACTTGAGAAAATCTACAGACACACAGACACACACAATATCCTGTATCTTGTAGAAGCACACACACACACACAGACACACAGACATACACATACACACACACTGTCCTGTATCTTGTAGGAGGCGCACACACACACACACACACACACACACGTCCTGTATCTTGTAGGAGATCCAAGCAGAAGAGATCAATAAATGTATGCTGGGTTTTTAATTCTGAAACTGGCTCTCCACCTTTTAATGTTAATGGACTCCATTTGTTGAGCACAGTCAAGGCATGGCAAAACTGAGGGCGAGCCAGACATGGTGGTACATGCTTGTGACCCAGCACTTGGGAGCTGAGGCAGGAGGATGTCAATCAAGTTTGAGGCCCAACTGGGCTACATAGATCCTATCTCAAACAAACAACCACAACAACCACAACAACAAGCTAAAGCCAGGTATAGCACGCATGCCTGTAATCTCAGCACTTGGGGGGGTCCTCCTCAACTTCACAGAGGGTTGGAAGAGGCCAGACTATTTGCAACCCTGTCTCAAAAACAACCACCTGTGGGAGCCCGTTTTCAAGTTCCTCGTGGCTTTACCCAGCAGGTCCGCATAGAGGATGACTGGACCACGGGCCTGAGTGCAGGTGTCTGGGATGGTCTGCACTTGGCTGTGCTGTGGGGGAGGTCTTTTGTTCCACCCCTTGGTGGTTCTATAAATACCTTAGGGCAGAGACAGTCAGGGCCCGTTGGAATAGGTTCCAGGCCCTCTCGAGGCTATCCTGTATTTTCTGTTTATCTCCACAATCTAAATCCTTCTATCTAATAATTCCTGCTGCTCGCACTCAAGAAAACTCTGGGGAACTGTGGGGTTGGTGGGTAAATGCTCCGCAACAACCAAAGAAATCCAAAACCATCGATCGCCCAAACAACCTTCCCTAACCAACCAAATAAAAAGATTACAGGGCAAGAAGACAGAATAAAAGCCGAGTGGTTTGCCAGCACCAACTCTTCTGGCTTTCCCTTCAACCAAACCCCTAGGTGCACAACACAGACAACCTTCTCTTTCTGTCCCAATAGTCAAGAGAGTGCATGTTGGCAGTCACTCAGAAATAATCAGGCTGCCAAAACGAACAAAGTCTTCACTGTCCTTTGGCCAGATACTTCTGGAACATCATCCAGGAGTATCTCTTTGTCACAGAAAGAAAACCATGCTGGTCATATATGCTGGGGAAAGGCAGGGGCCTGGTGGCCTTTTGCCAGTGAAGCTGATTCTGCAGGAAGAGTGGATGCCCCTTCTGTCCCCTCAGAACAAAGAGCCCCCAGGAGGGCCTCCCTCTCCTGCCCCCCATCTCTCCTCTGCAGACCCTCCCACCCCACCCTCGGAGTGTCATTTCCCTGTGGTCTGTGCCTCCTTTCTTCTCATTCTCTGGTGTCTCTCAACGCCTTCTGTTTCCTCTGTCCCACAGTTTATTTCAGCTCCTGTGCTAGACAGAACTGCTCATCGGAATGGACAAACTTCTGGGAAAATGACCAGACACAGAAGGCCTGGTGCTGCCTTCATGGAGAAGAGCTAAAAGGCGGGCGTGCAAAGGCTACCTTCCCACAGGCCGCCATACTGCCCGAGCACTCTACATGTTCCCATCCAGCTGAGTAGAGAGGGAGCACACAAGAAGCTGGGTCAGCAGAGTGGAAATCAGGGTGGAGAGATAGCAAAGCATTTGGATTCAGGCATTCTAGGTTTAAGGCCTGGCTCTGCTTTTTACTTCTGTGTATGAGTGAATGTGAGACATTTAAGCTATTCTCGTGTAAGTTTCCTTTGAGAAAACTGGGTAACTACCCTTTAGGGAATTACTTTGAAATGTGTAAAATGCCTGTAACTTATGATTATTGTAAAGATTAAACAAAAGTATATGTAAAGGTATTTTGAACGTGTCTCATTCCCCACCCTGTGTGTGTGTGTGTGTGTGTGTGTGTGTGTGTGCACCAAGGTAAGCAAGTGTGGATGGGTTTTGAAAAGCCAGATCATACAGTACAGCCATGAGGGTTCCAGTGACAGTGAGACTCTGGGGTAAACACAGGCAGGAGACAGACAGAGACACATAGAGAGACACACAGAGAGACAGAGAAACAGAGAGAGACAGAGACAGAGAGATAGAGAAACACAGACAGAGACACACAGAGAGATAGAGACAGAAACACAGAGAGAGACAGACAGAGACACAGAGATAGAGACAGAGAGAGGCACACACACACAGAGATAGAGACAGAGACACAGAGAGACAGACAGAGACACAGAGATAGAGACAGAGAGAGACAGAGACAGAAAGAGACAAAGAGAGATAGAGACAGAGAGAGACACAGACAGAGACAGAAAGAGAGAGAGAGAGAGAGTATGCCTGATTCACAGTTGGCTCTCAGCAGATTGACTAGTGCCATCCACAAAAGCAAATTAACTGAGCTCTCTAGACCAGTGGTTCTCAACCTCCTGATGCTGTGACCCTTTAACACAGTTCCTCATGTGGTGGAGACCCCCCAACCATAAAATTATTTTTGTTGCTACTTCATAATAATAATTATGCTACTGTTATGAATCATAATGTAAATATCTGTGTTTTCTGAAGGTCTTGGGCAATCCCTGTGAGTCGTTGGACCCCCCAAAAGGGGCTGCAGCCTTCAGGTAGAGAGCTGCTGCTCTAGGAGATAAGAAGCAACATCCCAGTGTTCATGGGGGAATGGCATGGGCAGATGCCCTGGATGGGAGCGTTTGAGTGTATCAGAGCCAGTGAGCCTGATGTAAGGAGCAAGTGTGGTCCTCTGCTGTAGTGCAAAGGAGTCCGAGTGCCCAGTCCTGGTGTGGCAGAACGAGACCAGGTAGGGCCAGACTTTGAGGACATTTTTTTCCGTGAGAGGGATGGACTGGGAGACAGATGGTGCCATGACAGTTTTCAACAGACCTTTGAAGAACTGAAGAAGCAAAGCCGCTCTTGAGCGGCTGGGGGTGTGGCTCAGTTGGTAGAGGGCTTGCCTAGCACGCACAAAGCTTTGATTCCATCCCCAGCACCTCATAAACCCAGTGGGGGCCTATAATCCTAGTACTTAAGAGGTAGGAGTAGGAGATCACAAGTTCAAGGTCATCCTTGACTACATCGGGAGTTTTAGGCCAGCCTGAGGGACATACGACCTTGTCATAAAATAAAATAAATGCAGGGCTTTGGGAAGAAGATAGAGCCTGGGAAGGGATAGCTGAGAGGGATGAAGCTGATTCCAAGGAAGCAGACACATCTATTGGCACTGTTTCTCCTTTGAGAACAGGTAGCATCTATTAATAAGAGGCTGACAGGGCTAAGCTTTGTTCCTCTCCACCCATAGTGCTAGGGATTGAGTGAAAGTTCGCACACGTGCTAAGCAAGCTTCTGTAACTGAGCTTACCACCCCCAAGCTAAATGATGATTAAATTATAGTATTATCATTTAGTAATAACATGGGTGTGGTGATATTTTGTGGGACTCTAATAAAGCTTGCCTGAAGATCAGAGGACAGAGCCAGCCACAGAGTTAAACACAGAGGCCAGGCAGTGGTGGCACACACCTTTAATCCTAGCACTTGGGAGGCAGAGATCTGTCTGGATCTCTGTGAGTTCAAGGCTACACTGGGCTACAAGAGATTGATCCAGTCTAGGAAAGAAACAGAGCCAGGCAGTGGTGGCACACACCTTTAACTCCAGTATTTGGGAAGCACACACGCCATTAATCCCAGCACTAGGAAGATTGATACAGGAGTGAAAAGGCTGGGCGGAGAAAGTCTTATAAGGCGTGAGGAGACAGGAACTAGTGTAGTTGAAGTTTTCCTGTGTCCCACCTGGCCCGTGGTCAGGACAAATCTCTCTCACCCGCCAGTCCTGCAGCCACTTGGACCCAAGTAAAACACACAGACTTATATTAATTAAAACTGTATGGCCTAATGGCTCAGGCTTCTTGCTAGCTAGATCTTACATCTTAAATTAACCCATTTCTATAAATCTATACCTTGCCACGTGGCTCGTGGCTTACCAGTATCTTTACATCTTGCTTCTCATGGCGGCAGCGTCTGGCAGCGTCTCCTGACTCAGCCTTCCACTTCCCAGCATTCTCCTCTCTGCTTATCCCACCTATACTATACTTCCTGCCTGGCTGCTGGCCAATCAGCGTTTTACTTATCAACCAAATCAGAGCAACACATTCACAGCATACAGAAAAATATCCCCAGCAACTAGAGAGCCTTTTGGCTGAGAACTCAGAGGTACTCAGTCAAAAGAATCATGGAGTTGGTGAGGTGAAAAGTGGCTGTGGCTTGTTCCTTTGTCTCTCTGATCTTTCAGCATTTACCCAGATATCTGGCTCCAGGTTTTTATCATAAGACCATTTAGGATTTGTGCAATACGTGGAGTTTTTGTTTTGTTTGTTTTCTTTTGCTTTCTGTTTGTTTTCTCTCTTTCTCTTTTCTTTTTTGGTTTTCGAGACAGGGTTTCTCCGTGTAGCCCTGGCTGTCCCTGTCCTGGAACTTGCTCTGCAGACCAGCTGGCCTCCACTCAGAAATCCACCTCCCTCTGCCTCCCGAGTGCTGGGATTAAAGGTGTGCACCACCAGGCCCAGCTTTAATATTGTTATTTTATCATTATTAAAATCTGGGGAAGAATGATAAGAAACTATAAATCCTATCCACCCCACTCTCTCAGTCTGAGAGAGAGAGAGCAAGAGCGAGCAAGCACTGAGAAGTGAGGATGTCAAGTGTCAGGCACTACTTGGGTTGATGAAAGGGAAGATTTTATTCCCTAGATGTGCATATAACCACATTGGTGCATCCAAAATGAAACCCTTTGATTCTCAGCATCTGTGAGTTTGACCAACTCAGAGAATCTAAATCAGCTCAAAGTCCTCAGAGCCCAGACACAGATCAGCGGCAATGCCACAGCCCAAAGAGAAGTGCACACATGCACGATGGAGCCTTCTCCACAGTACAAATCAGATACAGTTCGTCTATTGAAAAGCCAAGACGAATTTGTTAACAGCATCACTGGCATCGAATCTAGCCCTCCTGATTTCTCTTCAATGGGATGGATCATGTTGGGACTAAAAGGAGTCCATCCGAAGGTCTCAATGAGTCCTGGGTTTACCAGGATTTTGTAAGACACAATAAAGTCTGATTTTGCTACACAAAGGGCAGCACTTTATTTTTTTAATCACTTATCAACCAAGCAAAGTAGTGTGTGCATGTGGTGCCGGCTCCTGACTGAGGCAGGATTGCATAAGCCTGGGAAATCAAAGCCAGGCTGGTCAACATAGGGACTCATCTCAAATGAAATAAATAAAACCAATAGTAAAAAAAACTAAAAAATCATTAGGAATGTGGTTAATCAGTCTTTCTCATAGCTTCCTGGACAATCATGAAGGTCTCTCAAGAATAATATATATAATGATGATGGGCTGGAGAGGTGGCTCAGTGGTTAAGAGTGCTGGCTGCTCTTCCAGAGGACCCAGGTTCAATCCCCAGCAACCACATGGTGGTTCACAACCACCTGTAACTCCAGTCCCAGAGGATCCAATATCCTCTTCTGGCTTCTTCAGGCACCATGTATGTGTGTAGTACACGGACATACATGCAGACAACACACCCATACACATAAACAAATTCTAAAAATTTTCAAAGAATAATATAATGAGTAAGAATAAAGCAGAAAGTTAGTTTTAAAAGCCAACTGAATAGCTGGATGTGGTGGCACACGCCTTTAATCGCAGCACTAGGGAGGCAGAGGGAGGCGGATCTCTGAGTTCGAGGCCAGCCTGGTATACAGAGAGAGTTCCAGGACAGCCAAGACTACACAAAGAAACCCTGTCTGGAAAACAAAACAAAACAAAAACTATACTGTATATGTATGGATTTTATGAAATATTAAAATGTAGCCATATATTCAATGTAAAATTTCCTAATTCTACATTGTTTTTTTTTTTTTTTTTTTGGTTTTTTGAGACAGGGTTTCTCTGTGTAGCTTTGCGCCTTTCCTGGAACTCACTTGGTAGCCCAGGCTGGCCTCGAACTCACAGAGATCCGCCTGGCTCTGCCTCCCGAGTGCTGGGATTAAAGGCGTGCGCCACCACCGCCCGGCTTTACATTGTTTTTTATGATGTTGGCAAAACAATAAAAATTGTTCCAGTGTGTGTTGAATCACTATGAGAGTTTATCTCTAAGAGAGCTGATTTTTATGTGTTTTTTGCCGATAATTTAAAACCTATTCAACATAAATTGCTATCCTGTGGACTTAGATTTATAGATGTATGAGGCAGAAAGTATTTCTAAAAAAATTACTGTGGCCTCCAGTCATTTATTTAAGAAAAAAATGTTGATTGAAATCTTTTTTAAATAAGGAAACTTCTTTTCAGTTCTGAATCATTATATTACTGGATTGATCTCAAGATAAGGCTAGATGTACAAAGCACTCTCTCTCTCTCTCCCTCCCCCCGCTTTGGTGTGCTTTTAGTTTGCTCCTTTGAGACAGGATCTCCTGCACCCCAGGCTTGCCCCACAATTTTTATGTAGCCAAAGGCAACCTTTACCCTCCCACCTCCGCCTTCCAAGTTCTGGGACTATAGGCGTGCACCACCACACCTGAAACAAAGTTTTTTGTTTGTGTTTTTTCTTGGTAGAGGATCTCGAAAGTGTAATTAAATACAGCATTTCTGTTTGTTTGGTTGTTTTTTCTAATGTCTCAGAAGACAAGTAGGAACATTATATAGGTAGATCATTGTGGTGCGATTTTACTTTTTGACTGGACTGATGATCACTGTGGTAGTTTGTCCACAGCTAACTGCATGGAAAATGTGATGCTGTATTATAGTTCTCACTAGCAAGACCTTACCAATTATGTGCTCTCCAGCACCTTTTACAGTGGTGTTAGCCCCCAGTGTGCATGCTCAGCAAATGTTGATACCCGCCCTCTACGATAGTCTTTATAGATGAGACTAGAGCAATCAACAGTGGGAATTAAAATCAAATATAAGAAGGGAAAACTTGCATGTCAGAAATTGTTACCTGTTTTGGATGAAATAACCTGAAAAGGAAAATTTAGAAAGTTAGAAGAATAAGGAAAAAAACAGCATTTGGGGAAACAAAACAAACACATCAACCAGAACACAATAATCACAATGTTTCTATGAACACATCAACCAGAACACAATAATCACGATGTTTCTGTGCACAGTCAGTAGCTTTCCAATCACGTGAGTGCTTTTCTGTTCAACTCATTTATTTATCATAAAGCAACACTGAAAACGACTCCGAGGCTGGGCACTATTAGATTGTGTTACTATTTCATTTTCCCCTTGAGTCTGCCTGTTGAACTAAGTCAGAAGCTGTTGACAGATTTTTTTTTCAAAAGTCTTTGTTCTTGAAACATGATGATATTCTTGTCTCCTTTCCTTAGTACATCTCAAACACAAAAACATACCATCTTAGTATGATTTTAAGGTATTACTAGTTACATTTCCCTACTCCTCAGTCCTTCATAAAGAGAGAAAGATGGGTATCTTTTCCCCCTAACTAGTTGTAGTTGATTGAAAAGGCAGACTCACCGTGTTCAGACAGAGGAGAGTGAATCCTAACACAAACAAAGACTTCTTGGGTCTTCCAGCCATCCTGTTAGACGAAGTACTCACATAGCACAAACCGGTGATCTGGATCCTCTTTGGCTCCCAGAAGCGCAGCACAGCACCGAAGGTGAAGGTCGCAGAGCGCAGTGCTGGGAACAGACTCTGGAAGTCGCCTCTCCTTTGGTGCAGCGCTTACCTGTAATGAGGGACACTGGGGACTGGCAGGAACAGGTACTGCAAAGATTGAAAAAAAAAGAGTCGGAGAAAGCCACGCCAGGCAGGCCAAAGAAGCTCCTGTAACCTTGGTTTCAAGGAACTGTGTTCAATGCTCTCCCTTTTAATAAATTTTACTCCTGGCATAGTAGGCCTTTAATCCCAGCACTTGGGAGACACAGGTAGGCAGATCTCTGTGAGTTCAAGGCCAGCCTGGTCTACACTGTGAGTTCTAGGACAGTCAGAACCCTGTCTCAAAAAAACAAAAACAAATTTACAAAGCTGTAGAGAAAACTATTGATAAGGTAGAGTGATTTTAAACTCGGGGATTCCTGTCTTATTTTCGCCTTTAGTTGATGCTTATGTATTAGCTAGACTTTGTGTATTTTAGTCGGCTTTTTGCCATTGTGGCCAAAAGACCTAAATAACCAATTTAAGAGAGAGAAGGTTGGTTTTGGCTTGTGGTCCCAGAGAGGTCAGTTCAGCTCCACCTGCTAGGGAAGGGCATTCTGACATCCTCAATGGCATGGTGAGTGTGAGGCCAGCCTGGACTATGTGTGACACTGTCTTAAAACAAACAAAGAAGACTTGGGTCTGGAGAGATGGGTCAGCCGGGCGGTGGTGGCGCACGCCTTTAATCCCAGCACTTGGGAGGCAGAGCCAGGCAGATTTCTGTGAGTTCAAGGCCAGCCTGGGCTACAGAGTGAGTTCCAGGAGAGGCGCAAAGCTACACAGAGAAACCCTGTCTCGAAAAACAAACAAACAAAGAGAACTGGCTGCTCTTGCAAAGGATCCAGATCCAATTACCAGCAACTACATGGTAGCTCACAACCACCTATAACTCCGATTTCAGGGCGTTGTATGCCCTTTTCTGGTCTCTGTGGGCACCAGGTTCACACGTGGAACAAAGACACACATGCAGGCAAAGCATCCATGTGCATAATACAAATTAGAAATGCAAATTGTAAAGACTTAAAAATGCATAAATAAATGGACTCAAGCCACATATGGGGGGTGGAGCATACATTTTTAGTCTCAGCTACTCAGAAGGCAGAAGGATCTATTGAGACCATGAGTTTGAGATCAGCCTGAGAAACAAAGTAGGATTGACTGACTTCTCCCCAAATTATTAATCGATGAGTGAAAGTAGACTCAAAACCTAAAAACATATCAGAAATGAGAAACTGTGTAGAAGAAAATATTTATCACCTTGAATTAGGTAAAGATTTTCTTTTTTAAAAAATGTGTGTGTGTGTGTGTGTGTGTGTGTGTGTGTGTGTGTGTGTGTACATATGCACAGGTGTGTGAATTATTCTCAGGACCCAGTAAGAGAACAATGGAAGACTGTCGAAATGGCTCAGCAGTTAGAGGTACTTGCCGCCAAGCCTGATAGCCAGAGTTGGATCTCTAGAACCCATGTAAAGGTGAAAGAAGAAAATCAGCTCCCCAGAGTCGTCCTCTGTTCTCCACACATAGGCCACGGCAAGCATGGTGTCCGGTTTGATTTCTATTGCTGTAATAAACACCATGATCAAAAGTAACTCGGGGAGGCAAGGGTTTATTTGGCTTACAGTTGTACGTTACAGTGTCTCATATGGGGGAGGCCAAGACAGAACCCAAGACAGGAGCCTGGAGGCAGGAACTGAAGCAGGGACCATGGGGAAGCAATTCTAACTGGCTTACTCCTCATGGCTTGCTCAACCTGCTTGGTTTTTTTTAGGTTTTTATTTTTATTTTATTTATTTTATTTTTTTAAGAAAGGATTTCTCTGTGTAGCCTTGGGTGTCCAGTAGACCAAGGTGGCCTCAGACTCACAGAGACCTGCCTGCTTCTGCCTCCCACGTGCTGGGATTAAAGGCATGTGCCACCACCACCTGGCTCAACCTGCTTTCTTATACCATTACAACACCTACCCATTGGTGGCATTGTCCACAGTGGGCTGGGCCCTCCCATATCAGTAATTAATCAAGAAAATACCCCATTGATTTGCTTACAGGCCAATCTCAGTTGAGGTTTCCTAGTTGACAAAAAAACCAACCAGCACACATGCCCACACATTACATCACATATACATATACATATATATACACACACATATATATAATAATAAGAAGAAAATAATTTAAATAAAAAATAGTGATGGATGTGATAGCACTGTAATTCCAGACAGGAGAATTATGAAATCAAAACCAGCTTGGGCCACACAGCAACACTATGTCTCAAATAAATCAAGAGCTGCACATACCTGTCATCCTAGTATTGAGGAGGTAGAGGCAGGAAGATTGAAATAAGGCCAGCCTACACTACATAATGAATTGCAGCTCAGCCTGGGCTACATAATGAAACCCTGAAAACACAAACAAGGGCTGGGGTATAGCTCACCGTGAGAGCAGCTCCCTAACTTGGTTTGTGTTCCAGCCCACCCGGGAGATGCTGAGCATCGTTAATGATCAAGAGACCGCACATCATCACAATGAGATACTGCTGTATACTTATTAGACGTCTGAAATTAGAAAGATTGAGTGGCGGAGGTTGCTCAATAAAAGAGCATGTGTCTGGAGGCCCTGGGTTTGATCTCCAGCACCAACAAGTACTCACAAAGCAAAATTAATAATAAGACTGTAACTAGTATTGGTTCAAGTGTAGAGCAACCAGCAGTCTCATTGTTGTGGAACTCTGTCCTCTGCATGACACGACTGCCTCCATCTTGGCATCAGAGCAGCTGTGAATACTTATAAGGAGACTCTCAGAAGACTGAGTCCACTAATGTTCCTTTGTGGGGGGAGGGCATGGTTTACAAGGTTCATAACGTGGTACATGGGACGCTGCCCCTCTTTGAGGATACATAAGGAGTTTACAGTTGCTTGGTGGAGACTCTTCATTGTGTAGCTGCCATAATTGCCTGTGTTCCTTTAAGCAGTCCTTAACCCATGGTTTTGTAAGTAACCCCAATTAAAACCATTGCTTCATCAAGCTGGACCTGGGTGGAATTGTTTATCTACTTCACCTGGGGTGAATTGTGTTTGTAATATTAGTTCTTCTCCCCAGGAAAAGTCATGGCAACACTTATATTGGCAGGCATGTGAAATGGTTTGGCCACCTTGGAAAACAATTTGGCCGTTTCTTAAAAAGTTGAACAATATCAGTTGGATGTGGTGATTCATGCCTGTAATCCTAATATTCAGGAAGCTGAGGCAGGAGGATTATGATTTTGAGGCCAACCTGGACTACCTGTAGCATTTCACTCCTAGATGTTTACCACCCCCCCAAAAAAGGAAAGCATATCTTCATACAAAACATATATAAATATTCAGAATAGTATTGTTTTTATTTATCTTTAAAATGTATGCTAACCTTCCTTTTTATTTTATGTGTGTGTGTGTGTGTGTGTGTGTGTGTGTGTGTGTGTGTGTGTGTTTTGGCTGCATGCATGTATATATGTGTGTGCAGTGATGGTAGAGCCCCAAAGAGGTCGACAGATCTCCTGGGACTGAAATTACAGACAACTTTGAGCTGCCCTGTTGGGAATCGAACCCAGGTCCTTTGGAGAGCAGCCAGTGCCCTTAACCACTGACCATCTCTCCAGCCCCAGAAGTATCGTTTCAGTAATCCTTAAGCTATAAGCAAATCAAATGTTCACCAACCAAGATAAATTATGAGCACGTGGAATATTGCAGGAAGAAAAGAACGAGGGGCTGGAGAGACGGCTTGCACTCACAGGTCAGCTCCCAATCAATCATCTGCAACTCCAGTTCCAGGGGCTCCAATGCTCTCTTCTGGCCTCCAAAAGTGACAGGTACGCGCACGGTACACAGACACACATGGAGGCAAACACTTGTACACATAAAATAAAGAGTGAGACCAGTTGCTGTGGTGCACATCTGTAATCCCAGCACTTAAGAGGTACAGGCAGGAGGCTGGCAGGATGGTTCAGTGGGTAAAGCCTGTGTAAACCTAGAGACCTGAGATGTCTTCTTACACACACACATACACATCAACAACAACTCTACCACTAAATACATAAATAAAATATAAGAAGTGCAGGCAAGAGGATTATGTATGAATAGAAGGCCATCCGCAGCTACATGGTTAGCTGGAGGCCAGCCTGGGCTACATGAGACCCTGACTTAAAAGAGGAAAGTACTTTATAAACAACTGAATGAAAGAAACCAAGAAAAAGGAATGGAGAGAGAGAGAAAGAGGGTGATGAAGAAAGAACTGAGAAGAAGGTAGCTGCCTGGCTTTATACACTTAGGTAAATTTCTTTAAAACATGCAAACTATTCTAAAAACAGAAAGCAAATTAATGGTTGCCTAGAAACAGGAAGGGTAGGAAGAAGGAAGGACGAAGCAGAGGCGGCCCCTCGGGGTGGAGGCTTTGCTCATCCTCTGAAGGGTGCTGATGGTTCATACGTTATGCACACATGTCAAACACTGTTTATCCTTCAAGGATAACTTTCAAACAGAAATGTACTGCATTTGTTACTTTTCCTGTTGCTGTGATTCAACACACACACCACCACCAACAAAATGGACTAAGGCAACTTAAGGGAGAAAGCGCTTACTCTGGCTCACAGTTCAGGGTACAGTCCATCATGGTGGGGACGTCCTGGGGACGGAGCTTGAAGTAGCTTGTCACATGTCCACAGTCAGGAAGCAGAGAATAATGGAGGCTGGTGTTCGTCTCAAGGTCTCCTTTTTATTCAGTCCAGGATTCCAGGCCCTGGGATGGTGTTGTTCACAGTTAGGTGGGCCTTCCGGTCTCAATGAATCGAATCTGGAAAACCCCTCAGGTATCAGGGAGCTTGTGTTCCAGGTGATTCTAGATCCAGGCAAGCCGACAATCAATATTAACTATCACAGTCAGTTATACCTAAATAAAATAAGTTTGGGGGGGCTGGAGAGATGGCTCAGTGGTTAAAAGCACTGACTGTTCTTCCAGAGGTCCTGAGTTCAACTCCCAGCAACCACATGGTG